GTCGCCGGCGACTCATGGCAGCCCAGCTCCAGGTTGAGCTGTTGTTCAGCATCTTAGCTGTGGAGGGCAGTGTCACTGGCCCTCATGTGTGGGATCTGAACCGGGGCTCTCTGGCATCCCAAGCCAGCTCTTAACCAACGCGCCACACGGCCGGCCTTCATTTGCTTTTCACAAAATATTACAGCTTGAACATTTTCTGCTGTAACAAAATGTCAAATATATTCTCTCAAACTTAGTATAATTTAATGATTCTCCTATTGTTGGAAATTAGCAAAAATCTTTACCCAGATAATTTCACACGGTAGACAAGGAAAGCAGGGGGGCTGATTCTTCTTTGTTTTCACACAGAGCAGGAAGTTTAACTTAATGACAATATTAAGTACAATTAAAAATAAATCACTAAACTAGTTACTGGAACTAACTAAACCACTCAGGTGATGAAAAGAGGTCATCAGTGCCCTGATTACACAGGAGCGTTTAAAGCTCGTTTCGTTCACATGCAACAGTGTATTTGCAGCCAGTCCTGCAGTCTCCGATCAAACGCTGCAACCCTTCCCCGTGTGTGAGGGCGCTGTCACATCCCGAGGGAAATCTAAGGACATGGAGGCGAGGGCTGCTCCGTAGCATGTCAGTCTGCGTTTTGAAGAGGCTGTACCTGCGTCTCGTGTCCTGAGCCTTTCCAGGGCTCTGAGCTCTTCACCCCGTGATGGTGTCTGGCTGGCATGGCGCCTGGTAGGGACGATGGGAATTGGAGCTCTGTCTGAGTGTTGGCAGGATGCCGTCTCCTTCACAGGTGACTGTGTGGCCACGAGACGTGACCCTGCCATAGGCAGTGCGTAGACACCACGTCACACGGAAGACAGAAAAATTTTTAACTGTGAAAAGAAATGGGGTCCTGACCACACCACTTTTGCCTGCGGATTTACTGAGTCTGAAGCAAACTTGACCAACGAGAAATAAGCAAGAAGTGCCTGTTTCCTGCCAGCTTGGACGCTTGGCTTGCAACCACGTGTCCAAATAGATATAAGCCTGAAACACGCATTTTCTCCCTGCGAGAGCTGGGCGAGGCGGAGTTTAGCTACAACAACTCGTCATTACCTGTCTACATGGGTTCTTTAGTTTCACAGGAACAATTCCTCACCCTTGAGTCACTTCTGTTGGCACTTAGGACTGGTAAGCGTGGCCACATTTACCGTGGGGTTCAGTTTCAATTGATGATCATGGTATTAAGAGAAATATAAGACTGAGAAGGGTGCAGCCCTGGTTACGCTGCTCCATCAGAGACTTAGCGTCAGAGGCCACACTGGTTTCAGAAGGGCTATGAGCACCGCGAACGCATGGTCCAGCCATGTCCAGATTACTTTCTGGGACTTAATGTGTTATAATCGATTGGAGGAATGCAAACTGACACTCAGTTTTTTCCCAGTAACGGCTCTTTCTTTTTGTTTTTTTAGAGAAAAACACTTGAGTTTAATGAACTTCCTTCCATGTGGCTTCGAGCTACCAGAACACAGGCCCCTCCAACACCCTTAATCTTCTCCTCAGCTCTTCTGCTGAAAAACTTGGCCTTCACGATGACAGGCTGCTTTGGGAGCTTTCCCTTCCCCAGAACTTTGTAGTAGCCCGATTGCACCACATCAGTGATAGGGGCAGCTCCAGTCTTGTTTTTGGCAGCATTTACCCGTGTCCGCTCACTGGCCAAGGTCCACAGTTTATCAAGGTTGACAGTTGGGCAGAAGCTCTGGCTCCTTTTTAAGTGGTAATGCCTCATACCAACTTTCCCAAAGTAACTGGGGTGATATTTGTCAAAGTTGATCCTGGGGTGATGCAGGCCACCAGCATTACCTCGGCCTCCTGGGTGCTTCCGGTGCTTGCCGATGTGGCCGTGGCCGTGGCTCACGTGGCCCCTAAGTTTCTGGGTCTTCCTCAGTCTGGATGGCATGTCGACAGCTGAGATGAAAAAGTCGACTCTTTCTTTTTAATGGGACTAACTTCTCAGCATTTTTTCTGCCTAAAATTTTTCCAGAAGGCCAACGTGCAGGGAAATATATTAACTGATGGCTGTAATGGTTTCCACTTTGAAAATTAGATTTAATAATGTCTGCATTTTCGATATGCTGAAGGAGTGATGATGGCTGGTAGGGGCCACTGAGCAGTGACAGCCCCCCAAATTCTCGTTTGTTTCTGCCCCCACCCCCACCAGCACAGACACTGGCTCCACAGTCTTCCTTTCCAGACCTGCCCTCACCCCCATGTCCGGCCATCCCACTCCAACCACTGCCCGGTCCAGCCCTTTTAAGTGAGGTCTGCAGAGCCTGACTGACTCTTGTGTCCATTTCCCGTTTTTGCTCCTCTAATACTCTATCTAGGGTGACATTAATCTAATCCAATCTTGACAATTAGAAGTCACTTATTAAAAGAGTAAGAATTGCTATAAAGTTTGGGAAGGAAGAAAAACTATCTTTGCGCATAGAAGACATGACTATTTTGTAGAGAATATCAAAGATTCAAAAAGAACAACAACAAAAGTGTCCTAGAACTAAAAAAGTGACTAGAGCAAGGGGTTAGGGACACACGACTAAATGTAAAGCTGATCATTTTTCTGTGCAGCAGCAAACAATTGAAAATCTGAAATTAAAAACACAATACAACTTACATAAGCACCAAAAAAAGAGAAATGCTTGGGTATAAGACTAAAAAAATGTACAAAATGAATGAAGAAAACCATGAAACTTTGATAGTGAGAGAGAGAGAGAGAGAGAGAGAGAGAGAAAGAGAGGCTCTATATAAATGGAGAAATAGTCCATGTCCGTGGGTAAGGAGACTCAGTGCTAACAAGATGTCAATTCTTTTCAATTTGATCTAATATTCAGCTCCAGTAAAAATCCAGGCGAGTCATTTTGTAGATGGTGACAAACTGATTCTGACGTTTCTATGGAGGCAAGGGACCCAGGACAGCCACACGACACTGAGGGAGAGGAACGAGGCTGGGGGACGCCACCACTGAGCTCACGACTTATAAAGGAACACTGACCAAGACAGCATGGCATTGGTGACAGGACAGACAAGCAGATCAGTGGAACAGAAGCGAGAGCCCAGAAATACACCCAGTCGGATGCAGCCCACTGACCATTGACAAAGGAGCAAAGGTGACGTATTGGAGGATCTACAGTCTCTGCAACAAGCGGCACGGGAACAACTGGATGCCACGTGCAGAAAGTGACTCTAAACACAGATGTGACACCTTCGAAACAGTGAACTTTGAGTGGATCAGGGACCAAAAAGTAAAATGCAAAAGTGTAAAACCGGAAGGTAACGAATGTGGGAGACCTGGCTGACCTCGGGCGTGTGGATACCATCTTAGATGCAACATCAAAAGGACTGTTCATGAAAGAAAAATCGATAGGTCGGACTTCATTAAAATTAAAAGCTTCTGCTCTGCAGAAAACATCGTTAAGGGAAAAGATGAGCCACAGACTTGGAGAAAATATTTGCAAAAGACACACCTGATAAAGGACGAATGTTATTGGAAATATAGAAACAGCTCTTAAAACTTAACATAACAAACAATCCAATTCACAAATGAGCCAAAAAGTTCCACACAGCTGATTAAAGTAGATGTACAGGTGGGAAATAAATATATGAAAAGATTTCCCACATCACATGTCATCAGGGCAATGCAAATGGGAAAACGAGACACCACCACACACCTCTCAGAACGGCCACAATCCATACACTGAAAACCCTAAGAAACGGGGCATGGAGCCGCAGGAACCCTCGCTCACGGCTCGTGGACAGGAAAATGTGGCATAGCCTCTCTGGAAGACAGTTTGGCGGTTTTCACAAAACTAAACATACCGACCACACGACCCAGCAACCGTGCTCCTTGGTGTTGACCCAAAGGAGTTGCAAACTTAAGTCCAGAGAAAAACCTGCACAGAAGTGTGTATAGCAGTTTTTCATAACTGACAAAACTTGACAGCAACCAAGATGTCCATCAGTGGGATAATGGATTAAAAAAATCGTTCATTCAGGCAAATGGAATGTTATTCAGCACCGAAAAGAAATGAGCTCTCAAGCCCTGAAAAGACGGAGGAAAAGCATGTGCGTGTTACGAAGTGACAGAAGCCAGTCTGGACAGGCCACATGCTGTGTGATTCCAGCTGTGACATCTGGAAAAGGCACAATTGTGGAAGCAGTCACAGGGTCAGTGGTTTCCTGGGGGTGGGGGAGGGCTGCATAGGGGGGGCAGGAGGACCTTAGGGCTGTGAAGCGCCCACCTGGCAGTAAAAAGGTGACCACGTGGCATCGCACATGCCTCCAAACCCACAGGACGGACAACACGAAGAGTGGCCCTCACGCAGGCTGGGCTTTAGGTGATAACGACGTGTCAGAACTGACTCAGCCCTTGTAGCAACGCAGTACAGTAAATGCAAGACGCTAACAGCGGGGCGAGTGAATGTCTGTGGGGATAGGGGCTCTGAAAAATAAAGTCTATTAATGAAAAACAAAACAACAGAAAGGGTAAGCACAGACCTACGCACTCAGCTTACACTGCAAACGCTGCCTGCTGAACTGTGTCCTGCCTACTGACCACTGTGAGCTGAGCGGACCTGTCCACCAGCAGGTTCCAACATGACATAAAGTGCTGGTGTCAGCGCTCGGGGATGCTGTGTCCAGGATGCTGAGGGCACCTCTGTGCTGCTGGTCAGGGTGTCCTGGCACCGAGGGCACATGAGAAACTGTCTCCCCCACGCGGTTTTTCTGTGAATGCTGACACATCTGAGAGTCCCCGCTCTTGGTCTGCGTGACCTGAGGTGCCTGAGAGGACGAAGAGCAGAGGGCAGTGACCCCAAAGGGCACAGAGCCACCACCAGGCTGGGGTGCCACAGGGACACAGCCGCTCTCTGCTCAGCACTGGGCTGGGCTCCCCTCTGCTCACACCTGCACTCCCGGTGCTGGTCTGGACGTGGTCCCTCAGGCCCCCCTCTGCAGCACCCCCACTGCAGGAAGGATGGTGCAAGTCCCACCCCATCTTGGTGTTGTCTTTGCCCGTCAGACTCTCCATCAGTAGGGAGGGTGTTCCAATACAGTTATTTGTTTATTGGCTAAAAACTCCCCCACAGACAGTGCCGTGTGAGCTGGTGCATTGTTGTGATGCAAGAGCCATGGATTGTTGGCGAAAAGTTCAGGCCGTCTAACTTTTTCAAGCAGCCTTTTCAGCACTTCCAAATAGTAAACTTGGTTCACTGTTCTGAGGACACAGGCGGTGGGAGGTCAGCGGGCATCTGCAGCCTGAGCCCCAGGGTTGCTGCGGCCCCAGTGGCTCTGTCCCATCTGCACACTGTCCGCCCGGAGGCCTCCCTGCAGGCCTCACGCGTCCCCACCCGGGCTGCCCGTGTCCTGGCCTCGTCCCACCACCTGGGTTTGCGCTGAGGAGGAAGCAGCTGTTTCTCTTTCTAAGGGCTGGTCCGCGGGAGTTTCTGGTGCTGCACAGGGTTATGGAGTTCAGGGGGCTCAGGACAGATGCGGAGCCACTAGGGTGTTAAAATGCGCCCGCCCGCCTTGCTTGGTGCCGGGCTCGCTCTGACCTTGATAGTGATGTGACCTTTTAAATAATTGCGTTGGAAAAAAATCTCTACTATCTGAAATTCTATTCATCTGTTGTCATTTTTATTCACAAGTCATGGTCTGAAATGTTTCATTTCTCTTAAACGAGGTCCATCTGTATTCTGTTTCTTAATGAAGTTTTCTTTTTCTTTTTTTTTTTGCAAATTGAGGCAACTATTTCTCAAAAAAGTAAAGACAATTAAAAAAAAAAAGCTTTGCTTTAAAAATGCCCTCATTATCTCATTTCCAGAAATGGTATTTTCCTGAACTAATCTGTTATCTGAAATCTTAAGATCATGTACTTTGTCTGATAAAAAATAAGAATTTGGATATCTGGAGATTTTAATCACAGTATTTTGAGAATATGATACCCATGATGCTTAACAGAATATCTGAAAAAGGACATTTAAGGAAAAAAATGCATGATTTGCTACACTGATGACTTTTCCGTATAATAAACCCATTATATTAAATAAATTTATAATTATATTTTAAAATTAACTTCCTGACTTCTGAGGATAACATCAACTTAAATCTAGATCTCTTCATATATGTTTCCAAACAGTAGCAATCAATACGCAGAGAAAAAAAAAAACACCCACTCATAACCATGCCTACAGCGTGCTTAGCAGATAGAAAAATACTAAATATTTTACATGCACAGAAGGGAAGTCAGTACCCAGCGAGGCATCCGAGCGAGTCGCGATGGTATCAGTGAGCTTATGTGTAACCAACACAATAAAATAAAATTAAAACGTATGTAAATCTATGCGCACAGCGGCTGGACACACGCGGGAGGTTCATAGCAGTAGTTCCCACATTCCTCTCCAAGTGGAAATAACCCCAGTGGGGAAGGGCCGCGCCCCGGGACGCTGCGGTGGCGGACGACACAGGGGCCCCCACGCCAGCGGGAGGCGGCGCCCCCTCCCGTGAAGTGCAGACCAGCGGGGAGTGCGTGGGGCCCGCATCGCGAAGAAGACGCGGATCTGAGTGTCCAGGAGCCGGGAGTGTTTCCAGTGGGAGGCGACGGCCTGCGGTGGGACAGGCGTCTGGGGGCTTCCAGAGAGCTGGCGGTCACTCGGGGCGCTGCAAACACTGCCACGCGCCTCGATGAACACGCGCTCACGCGCCGCCCTCCCTGCCCTGCACTTGTTACAGGAGCGGCCCTTGGACACGCGCGGCACTGCTGACGCTGGGTCCTGGGCTCAGCGTGACAAACCCTGAGTCGTGTGCCCTCCCCCGGCACCTGCCAGTCCCTAGGAAAACACGCCGTATCCTTGTCCAATACACTTAACACAGAAGTGGCCGTCCACTGCCTCTCCGGTGGGTGGACGCACGGCGCTGGTGG